ACATATTGATCCAAGTTCCCTCTCACTCCCTCCCTCCCATGTTCCCCGACTACCCTCCCATCCCATACCCCCCCCCACTCCACAGGGAGGGTGATGCCTTCCAGGAGGGATCATCAAAATCTGTCAAGTCATTTGGAGTAGGGACTAGGCCCTCCCTCCTGCCTCTAGGTTAAGGGACTATATTGCGGTAAATAAGGATCAGGATAAACAAATAAGCCGAATAGATGTTTATTCAGGGAGAAATAACTTACAACCTAGACAGATGAACACCAGGAAATTCAACCCGATCCTCTCCTGTCCGAGTCACGCCAGAAAGAGAGCGCCTTCCTGGCCCCCTCCGACCTCCTTCCTCAGGTCACCTCCGCCCATAGCTCCACCCCCCAATGGGCGTGGTCAGTGCTACAGAAGGACTACCTCACTACAGGACTATCCCTCCATATCCCTCCATGGGGAATGTGCTCCCAAAGTCCTTTTGTGCACTAGAGAGAGATGCATCCTGGTTCCACTGTCAGAGGTCCCTTAGACTGCCCAGGCCTTCTAACTGAGATCCATGTTCAGGGGGTCTGAGTCAGTCCAATGCTGGTTTCCCAGCTATCAGTTTGGGGGTTCATGAGCTCCCCCTTGTTCAGGTCAGCTGTCTCTGTGGGTTTTTGTAGCCTGGTCTTGTACCCATTTTCTTATCACTCCTCCATCTCTGTATCAGGATTCGAGTTTGGCTCAGTGTTTAGCTATGGGTGTCTGCTTCTGTTTCCATCAACGACTAGATGAGGGTTCTGTGATGGTGGGTAAGTTAGTCATCAATCTCATTATCAGGGAAGGGCATTTAAGGTAGCCTTTCCATTGTTGCTCAGATTGTTAGTTGGGGTCAGTCTTGTAGGTCTCTGGACATTTCTCTAGAATCAGTTTTCTCTTCAAACCTATAATGGCTCCCTCTTTTATGGTATCTCTCTCTCTTTTGTGCTTGTATGCACTCGCACACATGCGTGCGCCCATGTGTGTGCGCGCACACACATTTGTAACAATAATAATTAAAGAAATAGAAATTATCAACTTGATAGTGGTGGGGATATGGGAAAGGTTTGAGGGATGTGCTGAAAGGAGGTTGGGAGGTGGGAATAGTGATATAATTCTATTTCAATTAAGACATATTTAAAACAACAAATAAATGCACTGTTTGTAGATTTCAATCCTTAGTGTCATCTTTTATGTTTATAGTTAATTTCAAGAAAGTATTTTTAATATCAGAAATGTGAAGACACAGAAAGAGTAACTATGATAGTCAGTGTCATAATGAACATAATGGCAGATCCACGAGAATAACTAAGAACTTTGATAAAGAAATCAGAAATTTAATCTTAAAAAGCAAAGTGTTTTCTTCCTAATTCTTACCATTTTCAACTTCTGCCCCAAAGAAGGCTATACAAATACAAATTTCCGTATTACTGACCCTGTATTTTTACTCTCTTCAAGGAAACATAATAAGTGAAACCCTGCTTCATGTAAGTATGTATTATTGCTAAGAGTAAATGTTCCAAGAATTATATAAAGGGGAAATACACTTAAGTGTCAACAATTATCCAGTCACGTCACACATCACAAGACTATTATTCCAGGACATACTAGCACAACTCTAATTTTACTCTGGTATATTATTTCTTTAAGGACATATTTTTCCTTTAACAGGAAAATATTTCCTTTAACAACAGCAACAACAACAACAACAATAACAACAACAACAACAAACCCAGTCCCCAGAATTTGTAGCTCAGAAGTAAGGGAAATGTTCTAAGGCTGATAACATGGCAACAAAGAAATTCAGAGTAGGGTGTGGGGGCTTGATGAACTGAGATGGGGAGAGAAAGGTAAGGAATATGTACTAGGCTGGACATAGTTAGAGGTACTTTGAATCAAGGAGATTCTCAAGCTAAACTGGAAAAGCATGTGGTTCTACCTTCATTTCCCTTTGGTTAGGCCTAAAGAAGGCTCACAGATTGTGTCCCACTGGGTTGGTTATTATCCAGACCTTGAAGACTTGGGTCTGAGCATGTAGTTGGCTCGTACCAGTATTTGTGTTTGTTTGTTTGTTTTTTTAATGTGTTTGGGGGATCCATTGCTTTTCCCAACCAGGAAAAAAACAAAACAGAAGGTAATGACATAATTGTGACAAAGTCATTGGAGTGTGAGTAGCACCAATTACTGGAACACCAGTTTAAATCAGTTCACTAACTGATTTCATGTTATCCGTAATAATATGTTTTATCAGGCACTACTGTAGAAAACACAGATGAATGAGTCTAGAAGCTCGGTTTCAAGGTACTCTATATCTAGTTAGAGGAATTAAACATTAACAAATTCTAATACAGGCATGGTACACTAGAAGAGAGACAAAAAGTTTCTATTGGAGCCTGTAATGTAATTTTGTGCCTATGGAGAGGAGACAAATCAGAAAGGGCTGCACTTTAAGCAACAGCATTTGAAATTTCCCTTTCAGGAGCTATGGATAGGGAAGTGGAGCAGAGAGAATGGCAGCCTAGGTTAAAGAACCTCAATGATTCACATGTATCTCTCATTCCAGTCTATCATCTAAGGAAGTATGTATGGTATGATGACTGGCCTTAAAATGTCCCATTAGCCTTTCATATAATGTTATTCTAAATCAGAATTCAACTTCTTAAGTATAATTTTGAATTCAATTTCTTAAGTATTATTTCCTTTTTACTCTGTTATATTTTCTGTATTCGATATTCTAAATATTCTTGCTTTTTATGTTCTTTGTATAAATAGTATATGATAAAACAAAAATTAACATATCAGAATTGAACAAAACAGAAGGAAAAGAACTCAAGAGAAGGCATCCGAGATCCACTCATTTGCACACCCAGGAATCCAATAAAAATGCTAAACTGGAAGCCACAATATATACGCGGAAATTATGGTGCAGACCTGTACAGGTCCTGTTCATGCTGCCTTTATCTCCGTGAGTTCACGTGAGCTTCAATCATGTTGATTTAGAAGTCCTTGTTCTCCTTATGTCCTCCTTCCTCTCTGGCTCTCATAATCTTTTCACCTCCACTTCCACAAGTTTTCCTGAGCCCAGAGGGGAAGAATTTGATGGAGGCATCCCACTTAATATTTCAAGGTCTCTCACTCTCCGTATAATGCCTGGATGTGGATCACTGTATTTTTTCTTCTATATACTGCAGGGGAAAGTGTCTTTGATGATGGCTAAACAGGGCACTGATCTATGAGTATACCAGAATGTCATTGGGAGTCATTTTATCGTTCTGTTATTTAGTAGAACAGTAGTATTTGGTTTTCCCCACGACCCCAGGGCCATCTGGTTTCAGGTTTTTGGTCACCTGGACAATGTCAGGTATGGGTTCTATCTCATGAAACGGGTCTTAAGTCAAATCAGATATTGGTTGGTTACTCCCACAAGCTTCGTGTCATCATTGCTCTAGCATATATTACATGCAGGACAGCACTGTAGATCAAATGGTCTGTGGCTGGGTTGCTGCTTATATTTCTTTTTTAGAAGCCTGCAGAGTACCTTCCCGTAACAAAGATGGTCAAACGTAGGAGTGAGGGCTGTGTGGAGGCAACAGTTCAACTTCTCCTCATTCACTGAGTTGTGTAGCTGTTGCCTTTAGCAATGATGCATTGCCGTCAGTTTGTGTAGAACAACCTATATTATGTTCTGTTAGTAAGTGGCTGTTTTGCTTCTATGTATTTTACACTGGACATACTCTTTGTCAGGCATGCCATTTCCTTTCTCAGTTCTTTCCCATTATCCATTTCACCTCTCTATCTTTTCCCTTCTCAACTGTACTTTGACACACCTTTTTCTGATGCAAAAGCAGAGTCTTTCAATGTTATTTAATAAGCTAACTGCATTAACTGGGGCCCTTCATCTGTTCATTGTGGCGGATGGCAGGAGAGAAGGACCTGAAGAAAACTACAAGGTGGGGAACTTATTGGGCAGCATGAGGGGAGTGTCTAGGGTGTACTCAACAGTCTCAGGATTGATATGCTTCTGGGCTTGGATAATCTGTGTTGATTGGTCAACTGGTTGTTATGGCCTCTATAGGCCCTCCCAGGGCGGTTGCTATGCTCTGCACATCACTGTTGTGCCACTTATACTGTAAATCATATTTTGGCACATTTCTTAACTCTTACCACTCCTAACAAAATTAGTCTCTGTCCTTTAGGCTCTCAAAAATCTTTGATCTCTTAAATGTTTGTCCATCACTTCTTTATGTCTGGTGGCATCCAAAAGGCTATATGATATTGCTATTCCCTAAAGGACATGGTTTAGAGTGTGGTTTTTACTTTGTAAAATTTGCTTTAAAATGATGTTGAATTGGTATGAAAAGCTGAGAGAATTTGGGTAACAGTACATGTTGGGAGAAAAGTGGTATGTATAAGAAGATAGAGCAGATTAATATATACTGAAGTTATGCTGTGGAGTAATTCAGAAGGACACTACAGAGTTTTAAGTAGTGAATAACATAAGGGCCAGTGGCAATGGTAGAGACAAATGTAGGAAGATAAGGCCAGGCATGGTAACTCATGCTTGTAATCCCAACATTTGAGGAACTGATGCAAGTTGATCATCATGAGTTTGAGACTAGCCTGGGCTCCAGAATGAGACTTTGTTACAAAAAAGACAAAGAAGTAGTTTAGGAGATACAGTTCAAGTGTACAATGTAAAACCAAAAACAAAACAGCCTAGAATCAGGGACCAGGCGATAGAGATGGGAAAAAAAATATTAGCTTTCAGCAGAACTATAGAAATATGCTGTAGAGACTTGGTGAGGGAAAGTAGTCAGCATATATAAAAGAAAGAGGTAGAGAAGTCGACAATGGTTATGAAAAGAATATTGCAAACAGGTGGGTTTCAGGCCAGAGTAGCCTCTGAAAAGTCTGTATGCAAGACATCTATATGAATAAAACAGGTGACTATTAAGACTGTGAGATCCCACATGGATAATGAAGCTAACCTGGGCACAGCTGTCACAGTGGAAAACGAGCAATCAACCAGGAAACTGGTACTGGTGGTAGGTAATCTACAGGTTTTTTTCAGAATCTGAAATGAAACAAAAAGACAATACATTGTAGCAAACTGGTCCATAAAAGGTTTTTCAGGCCCGACTAGCTAGCTTTTCTTTCTTTCTTTCTTTCTTTCTTTCTTTCTTTCTTTCTTTCTTTCTTCCTTCCTTTCTTTCTTTCTTTCTTTTTCAAGTTTGGCTTTCTTTTATTGTTTTACACTGGTTAGAAAAGAGTGGTGAAAAACATTGATAAAGAAGATAACTTTTAACACCTCAAGTGTTCTCATGAATATTTTGTACGCCTACAAACAAGAAAGCTTCTTTCATTAAACCAACATGATTTTCTATCATATTTTAAAATCAGGTTTTTGAAAGTTCCATACAATTATGTTGACCACTTCCACCCTTCTTTCTTTATGCCTTCCCTGATCCGCCCACCTTCTCCACCCATGCAATTTTCTGTCCTCACTGAGAGAACCCTACCCACAAGTCTCCAGGATCAATACAAAAGACTCCAGGAGCCAAAGAAATTGGATTGACCACAAGAAAACAGTGTCTTCTGGACACAACAGGGCAGATATACATATGAACCCACAGCCATTGTGACTGCACTCACAAGACCGACCCATGCAAACTCAAGCCTAGCTAGCTTTTCTTATAACCATTCTTCCTAGTCAAATTCTAGTCTGAGGAAGAAAGAATTAGCAATGCAGATAACATTTTAATCCATAATTCTGCCTGGTTAACTCTATTTTCTGATAAATCAAACGATTTCAAGGATCTAGGTTAAAAATAATTAGTTAATGCTTTAAATTAAAATAAAATGGTGCATGTGGACCTTGAGAACTTGTTTGGAGTTTATAGCAGGGGAGCGCAGCAAGTCATATACCTTTAACCAAAGACCAATCCTCCTTTATTGAGGGAAGGTTATCCTCTCCAACCTACTGTGGCTTCGGGAGGGATACACCTGGAGCAATGAAGGAGGAAGGACACACATGTGTAGCCAGCCAGATCGGCCAAATCAACCTGACAGTCAATGGGGTGACAGATATACACCTGTCAAAATGGCTAAAATCAAAAACACGACAGTTCATGCTGGTGAGGATGTGGAGCAAGATGAACACTCCTCCACTGCTGGTGGGAGTACAAACTTGTTCAGCCATTTTGGAAATCAATATGGTGTGTTCTCAGAAGATTGGGAACCAATCTATCTTAAGATCCACTCCTGGGCATACACCCAAATGGCATTCCATGCTACCACAAGGACGCTGTTCAACTATGTTCATAGCAGCTTTATTCAATAGCCGGAAACTGGAAACAACCTAGATGTCCATCAACCAAAGAATGGGTAAAGAAAATGTAGCTGAGTATTACTCAGCTGTTAAAAATTATTATGAAATTTTCAGTCAAATGGATGGAACTAGAGGTAGCCCAGACCCAGAAAGACGAACATGGTAGTATAAGAGGATATTATCTGTAAAGGATAATCGTGCTAAAATCCACAGACTCAGAGAGGCTAAGTAACAAGGAGAGCTCGGGGTGGTGGTGGTGGTAGGGGAATGCATGGATCTCACTGTGAAGGGGAAATAATAGATTTTCAGGTGGATTGGGGGAGGGTCAGGATGGGAACAGGAGAGATCAGATTAGGTGAGGGAGAGATGATTGGAATTGGAGGACATTTTGGGAGTGAGGTGGAAACCTAGTGTAATGGAAACTCCTTGGATTCTGTGAGGGTGACCCTACCAAAGATTCCTAGTGATGGGGCATACAGAAGATGAATTGGCCATCTTTTGTAACCAGACACAGCTTCCAGTGGTAGGACTGGGATACCAACTCATCCACAAAACCTTCAACCTACAATTTGTCCTTCCTGCAAGATATGCTGGGGTGCAGAACTCGTGGGAGAGGCCAACCAATGACTGGTACAACTTGAGACCCATAACATAAGAGGAAGCCCATGCCTGATATTGGCTAGAGTGCCAGGAATCAGAATCTGGATAGCCAAGACTTTGGGTAGAACCAAATATGAAATGATTCCTAATGATATTCTACTATATTCATAGACCAGAGACTAGCCCAATCATCATTAGAGAGGTTCCATCCAACAAGAGATAGAAGCATATGCAGAGACCCTCAACCAAGCATTAGGTGGAGCTCGGGGAATCCCATGAAAGAGAGGGAGGAAGGATTATAGGAGACAGAAGAGTCAAGGAGACCACATGAACAAGGCCCACAGAATCAACTAACCAGGGCTCAGAGACTGAAGTGACAATCAGGGAGCCTGTATGGGTCTAATCTAGGTCCTCAGCATATATGTTATAGTTGAGTAGCTTGTTATTCTTGTGGGACTCCTAACAGTGGGCGTGAGGTGTATCTCTGACTCTTTTGCCTGCTTTTAGAACCCTTTTCCTCCTCCTGGGTTGCCTCATCCAGCCTTGATATAATGGTATATGCCTTGTCTCATTGCAACGTGACATGTCATGTTCCATTGATATTGCTTTTTCTGAAGGGAAAACGAGGAGTAGATCTCGGGGAGAGGTGGGGAGGGGGATCAGGAGGAAAGGAGGGACAGGAAACTACAGCCGGGATGGAATATATGAGACAAGAATTAAAAGTGTGTGTGTGTGCGTGTGTGTGTGTGTGTGTGTGTATGCATGGCATCCAAAAGAGGGCACAGATGCCCAGAGTTAGATTTACAGATGGCTGTGAGCTGTAACATGAGTGCTGGTAACTGAATTCTGGTCCTCTGTATGAGCAGCAAGTACTCTTAACCCCTAAGATATCTCTCTAGTCCCTACAAAATATTTTAAGAACAAAAATACTTAATCACATAACTTTAAAAAAATATTAAGAATGAGAGCATAAGAAATGATCACAAAGAAACTGTAATGCAGCAGTTTTCAACCTGTGGGTTGTGATCCCCATGGGGCCAAAAGACCCTTTCACAGGAGTCACCGAAGGCCACTGGCAAACACAGGTATTTACATTCTGACTTACAAAAGTAGAAAAATTATAGTTGTGAAGTAGCAATGAAATAATTTTATGGCTGGGGGCCACCAAAACATGAGGAACTGTGTTAAAGTGTTGCATCACTAGGAAGGTTGAGAACCTCTTAATTCATATTTCTCATTTTAAAGATCCATTTATTTATTTTTATTTTCCTCCCTTCAGACACTCCCATATACTCCTCCTTGTTCTCTTGCAAATTCATGGTCTCTTTTTCATTAATTGGTGTGTGTGTGTGTGTTCCTAAATACAACCTGCTTAGTCTGTGTAATGTTATTTGTACATGTTTTCAAGGCTGAACATTTGACATTGACATGAAAGCAGGAGGGGGTGTACGGGTAGGTTCTGAGACCTTTATGGGAACTCTCAGATGTGTAAATTCCAGGAAGAATGGCTAGTTGTTGGAGAAACCCAGGGTAGGCAGTGTTTACTTGGTCCCATTCTTCACTCAGTTCTGGTGAGCCCCTTAGGCTACCCTAAGGCCCCCATTGTGGGCCAAGTTCTCTTCGACAGTGTACAGATCATTCACAATTTAGTTGCAGTATTGCTGCACCATACGTTTGGTCAACTGCTTGGAGGCCTCCATGGATGAGTTCCCATCCTTGTCATATTCCTGGCTTATGGCCCAGGATGATACCAATGCCTCCAAAGTTCAAGATTTTGTGTGAAGAGTGGGTATGGAATGGTGCCTACAGGATTCCAGCTGGAAACACAATTTTGTTTTTTTGTGGGTGGGGTCATACTCGACTGATCTGTTGGGGACTTTCCTGAGCTGATTAGTTGTGGCACTCCATGAGAAGCTGAAAAGTCATGGGTTCTCAAAGTATAGATGTGGAACTATGGTGCGATAATTAAACACTTTGTCTAGCTCTTTTGTGTCCATGATTAAGATAGGATAGCCTATCATGTTGTAGATATCATCGGCCTTTTTCTTGGCTAGTTTCTTGGTGTATTATCTACTTCAGGGTGCTCACACTGTCTTCAAATAACTTCTTATCTCACTGGCTATGTCCTTGCTATCTTCAGCAAAGGTCAATTTCACAGATGTGGGACCCAGGACAAAGCCCAGATTGTTTTCCCTGTCACTCACAAAAAAAAAAAAAAAAAAAAAAAAAAAACTTTATCAGGAGAGGCAGGTCTGCTCTGACCCATATACTACCTACATGAATCCACCACAGCCCTGAGAGCACCAACCTGGAAGGAGCTTGTTTTTTTTTTCTACCAGGTTTTGCATCTTTTAGTTGTACAGCAGGTATTTGTTGGTGTTGTTGATGAGGATAGAGACTTGTGCCATGCATTCTTTGTTGTTGACCATGATGTGCTCAGACTCATTGATCTCTAATAGGGAAAAATGGTTTTGAGAAGTTATTTTAATAATGATTGATGGGAGGGGCCAACTTCTGTAGGCCAGCTGCTGTGACTTTGTAGTAGAAGAGCTCCTCCTCCTGGAATATCTCCTGGAAGATAATGATATATTGGCTAGCACTGTTTCAAAGTTCAGGATCTTCTACATCTGGGGTTGGAGTCCTCATTCCTATTGTCCAGCAGCTTCCCTCGATGAACTGTATAGTTGAGACATTCAATCAGCACCTTCTCATTTTCTATCTTGTTCAGGTCTCTAACAGGACAAGTTGAGGCTGGACTTGTCTACTTGGTTGTATTGCTGCTTAATTTCTTGAAATCCACACTGACATAGACAGAGAAGGGTGAGGTTCCATGGTTGGGTGTGATCACCTATGGCATGTCTTCAAAATTGTTCTTGGCTTATGGTTCTGTGATATTCATGCCCCAAGCTTTTCAATAAACTCTGCCAGGGGTTTGGCTTGAGCTCCTCAATCCACATTTCATTATTACCCACATGGTTGTACACTTGGGCCTCTGCCTCATTCATACTGGCAGTGGAATTTTTCAGCAGATACTTTATTATGGCTTGGTTGTGTTTGCAGAGGTTGCTGAAGACCCCCTAATGTGAGTGGCCATAAGGTATAGGGCTGGCCTTGATCCAGACCCCACAGACATAGCTG